GAGGAGGAGTGCGCTCGCCATCGCCGGTCTCACCAGCCGGAGGCCCCGGAGACAGAGACGGTGCCGGTTGCCAAGCGGGGCCGGTGGAATCGTTGGAGCAAGCGGAACGGCAATCCAGGGCAGCCGGGGGCAAGCTCGGCAAGAGCGACGCGTTCCCCTTCGGTGCAGCGTCTGGCGAGGAAGGAATGGCAGAGGCGGATCTCCCTGGTTCGGCGCGTCCGCCACCCGCTAAGCCAAGCAGGCGACGGCGTCGACGGAGAAACTATTTTCTTGATCCGCCGGTCGAGAGCGAGCCTCTTCCGATAGAAACTAAGCGGGCCCCGCACAGCTTTAATTAGCAGAGGGGGGGCAAAAGAAGGGTCGACGGAGAAACAAAAGAACGAGGAGCATGAAAAGGAGAAGGACAAGGACAAACGCGAGAGCAAAAAGTTCCCGCAGCAGGAGTCCAGGGACTGGCCAGCCTCTCTGGCGGGCTCGGAGGAGGCACCAGCGGGACGGCAAGAATCTCAGCCGATGATGCCTCCACCACCTCCGCCGCCGAAGACATCCAATACGAAGGAAGAGGAGCGGGCTCTATATCGGTCCCCCCATGGTTGCAGAGGCCGTGAAGGGCAAGGAGCTACCGACAATGCCAAAGTTCCCTTACCCATACGGCTGCCCAAAGGTGCTCCCTCCAGGTCCTGGGGCTGACGGCAACGTCCCTCACGTTCCTCATGTGCATCTCCCTGACACTGACCTGGGAGAGAGCAGAGGGGCACTTCGACGAGGACCTGGGCGGCCGTGAGGACACGAGCGAGGCCGGTTGCGGCCCTGAGCAGCTCTACGGCGAGGGATCCGTCGATACCGAGAAGGTGACGCTACCCGATTGGCAACAGTACCGAGCAGTGTTCCGCTCCGAGTTGATTGAAGGGGCCCTGGGACACACAAATAAATACACACAAATAACCGGATTCCCAATATTGCCCCAAATGTTCTGGGTGTTTGTCTTCCCCCCCACCTCACATATTTTCCCATATTTTCTGGGGAGCCGACGATTAATTGTGTCTGTGTGTTTCTTTCCCTCCTGATTGATGGACGACCCTGCAAAGTCAAGGATATGCTCAAAAGGCCCCGCGCCCGAGGAAGCGTCTCACGTCGTCCAGCAGACGCTTGCTGGGGCTGGTCGCGATGGTCACACATCTGAGCAATGAGCTGACCATACATTTTGGCCGGCGGGGCGAGAGCGAACCTCGTCCGCTAAAAGCTAGGCGGGCTACGCACAGCTCTAATTGGAATGAGTTGACCAAACATGTGCATCTGCTTCCAAGCATGTTGAGGAAGTGGCGGCGCGGCCACACGAGCATGTCAACTCATGGTGGGTGCATGGTCTGTGCCAGTGGCGGCACGGCCACTCTGCGCACAGTCTCTGTGTGGTCGGCAGCAGTGGCGGCACGACTGCAGTACGCGGATGTGTCTCTCTCGGCATAATCACCAGTTGCATGTGGGCACTGCATAAAGCTCGTCTGCATTGTCGTGGGTGTGTACGAGAAGTGGACGGGAGAGACTCCTGAAGAATGACTTCTGAGTTTGGGATCCCTAGGCGCTCCTGTCGCCGGCAGGACCCTGCAAGTGGCAGCGACTCTCCTCCCTCTCCTCCTCCTTCTCCTCCTCCTCCTCATCATCATCATCATCATCATCAACATAATCAGCATCATCATCATCATCAGCAGCAGCAGCATCAGCATCATTATCATCAGCAACAACAACAGCAGCATCATCAGCATCGTCATCAGCATCATCATCATCAGCAGCAGCATCATCATCACCACCACCACCATCATCCTCATCCTCATCCTCATCCTCATCCTCATCCTCATCCTCATCCTCATCCTCATCCTCATCAGCATCAGCATCAGCATCAGCATCAGCACCAGCATCAGCATCAGCATCAGCATCAGCATCAGCATCAGCATCAGCATCAGCATCACCATCATCATCATCATCTCATCATCATCATCATCATCAGCAATCATCAACATTATTTTTTATTAGTAGTCTTATTATTAGTAATATTATTAATATTATTAATGTTCTCCTCCTCCTCCCCCTCCTCCTCCACCCTCCACCTGGACATCCACCTCCGCCTCCTCCTCCACCTCCTCCCCCTCTCCTCCCCCCCTCCTCCTCTCCTCCCTCCTCCTCCTCCTCCTCCTCCTCCTCCTTCCACTCCTCCCACTCCTCCTCCTCCTCATCCTCCTCCTCTCATCCTCCTCCTCCTCTCCTCCTCCTCCTCCTCCTCTCCTCCTCCTCCTCCTCCCTCCTCCTCATCCTGGCCAAGCACGAGATGTCCACGCGGGAGGTCCAGGACAGCCTCCCGGAGCTTCGAGGCTCGGGCGAGGCGACGGCGGCAATGACTCCTTACCCTCCCCTCCTCCCCCTCCCCCCTCCCACACCGCCTCCTTTCCCTCCTCCTCCGCCTCCTCCGCCTGCTCCTCCTCCTCCTCCTCCCCTCCTCCTCCTCCTTCTCCTCCTCCTCCTCCTCCCCTCCTCCTCCCTCCTCCTTCCTCTTCTCTTACTCCTCCTCCTCCTTCCTCCTCCTCCTCATCATCCTCCTCGTCTCTCCTCCTCCCCTTCATTATCCTCCTCCTCCTCCTCTCCTCCTCCTCCTCCTCCTCCTCCTCCGCCTCCACCTCCGCCCCCGCCCCGCCCCCGCCTCCGCCTCCGCCCCCGCCCCCCCCCCCGCCCCCGCTCCAGCTTCCGCCTCCGCCTCCGCCTCCACCTCCGCCTCCTCCTCCTCCTCCTCCTCGTTCTCCTCCTCCTCCTCCTCCACCTCCTGGTTGGCCAGGCAGGAGGGGGTTACTACGTAGGAGGTCTGGGGATAGCCTCTCGGCGCCGTGAGGCTCGGGCGAAGCGCCCGTGGTATCGAGTCTTGTCCTCCCTCTGCTTCCCCCTGGAAACAATTTAGGGGAGTCTGGGTAAGAAAGAGTAAGGGCGATTAGGTCCGATTACAGCCATTGAGCCAGACTCGCCCAGATGATGCCCTGTATTAAGCTAGGTTCGGCAGGATGAAGCAGGATTCAGCGAAATTGAAAGGGCTGGAAACAAGTTTATGCCAGTTTTTCACCGCGATTGTACCAGCGTTGCTGAGGAATTTCGCCCCCCAGGAATAGCATCCTGACCTAGCCTGAGTCTACACCCTCCTCCTCCTCCTCCTCCTCCTCCTCCTCCTCCTTCTAGTCCTCCTACTGCTGCCCAGAACAGGGGATCTGTCGACCTCCATCCCAGGCTTCGTAGGTTCTCCGCACGGACCAAATATTCGGAGCCCCACCCTCAATGGGGGGGCGTCCATCCTCGCCAGGGGTGCGTCCGAATGGACTCCTGGCTGTGTATACCAGGGTTCTCCTCCTTTTCTGAACGGTTTCGTCTTCCGTTGAAAAATCGTGGTTCTCTGATGTCCGACATTGCGGACAAAATGCAACACTGTCCAAAAAACACGACCAGAGCTCCGGACCTCATCTTTCTGCCTCATCTTTCGAGCAGGATCGATCTGTGAGGGTCCAAGGGCCCGCAACGGGGCGAAGACACGCCCGTTGTGAGAAATTGCAACGCGAAAATCTGGTGCTAGGGGAGTTCCCCTTTGTCCTGGTTGACCCAAAAGGGGATCCAGCGAAAAGGGGGTGGTGCATTAGATCTGGTCAATAGAACTGTGGGGTTGCAATACACTTGAGGTGTGCAATGCAATTCTCTGGCGCAATACATTTGCAATACGATGGCCCAAAATCTATTGTGCCACCCTGGACACCCTGGTGGGTCACGAAGATTTTTCCTGAGCCGCCCAACTAGTTGGGAGGCATTCGGGGAGTAGGTTTAGGGCGGGCATGTCCTCCTACAGGCGCATTAGAAAAAGAAGATAAGACATAGTCAAAAAATCTCCACAATGCGCAGGTTGGGGCTACCATACCCCCTGCCTGCGATAAATGCATGTTTTGAGGTCAATGCGTCCACTCCCTATGAGCCCATCCCCACCGGGCCGTAATTCAGATCTCCGACGGCCTTCCGGGACAAGTCGGGCACCCCAAGACCGCTCTCGGCGAGGCGAAGCTGCCGGAAAGCATACCGAGGCTGGAAGAGCGCCGAGAACATATACGAAAATGACAGAACGACCCGAACCTCGATCCCGAAGCTGTCACCCCGCGTAACGCTGCCCCTGACGGCGCCGCGATGCTTTCCGACTTTGACTCTCCTCCCTAGAAAAAGGGAAAACTCAATACTGAAGGGGCACTGGGACACACAACTCAATACACAAATAACAGGATTCCCCATATTGTCCCATATTGTCTGGGTTTTTGTCTTCCCCCTCACTTCCCGTATTTTCCCGCATGTTCTGGGACTCGCCGATTAGTTGTGTCTGTGTGTGTTTTCCCTCCTGAATTCTGACTATGCCGTTTCATTTCGGCGAACGCTGCCCCTGACGGTGCCGCGATGTTTTCCGAATGTTTGGCCCTCGGGCCTGCAGATGGGCGCGTGCAGATGGGCGCGTGCAGGGCCCCAAAACACCGTGGCAGCTGAGAGCGAGGTCTCCTCGCCATCCTGCCCCTTTCTCGTCGACATCCTCCTCCGCCCCCCCGCCTTCTCCTCCTCCTCCTCCTCCTCCTCCTCCTCCTGCTCCTCACTCTCCTCATACCAGAAATGGTGTTACTGGAAGGATTCCGGATTTTGCGTGTGCTACAGTTAGGTTACCTCGCGGCGTTGAAATCCCGAAAATGGCGTCCTGGCACGATCCAGGATCGTCAAGACGCAACAGTCAGGTTGACTCGTGGCGTTGGAATAATCCCGAGAACAAAATTTTGGCATGCTTCCGGGTCTTCAAGCGGTTCTTCCAATGAGGCAAATCCCTCAATGGAAATGAACCGTCGTAGGGCCCTATGAATAGGGAGCTTGGGGGGAGGGTGAATTCCAACATCGTTGATAGCTCTTGGGTTTACACTGTTCCTCCTCTGCCTCCTCCCCCTGCGCGCGGCCTCTCGAGGTCGCGGAACTCCCTGCGGACCTCCTCCCCCGTCACGTCGTCGCTGCCGGACGGCTCCGCCCAGGCGGGCGCCGTGCTCGTGGGCAGCTCGCCTCCCGTCCGCGCCCTCTCGCTCTCCCCGCCCCCCCTGTCTTCTCGGACCCCTCCTCCTCCTTCTCCTCCTCCTCCTCCTCCACCGGCCCCCTTCTTCCTCCCCCATCGCCATGATCCTCTTCCCCCTCATCCTCCTCCTCCGACTCCTCGTCCCTCCTCCTCCTCCTCCTCCTCCTGCTCCTCCTCTTCCTCCTCACTCCCCCCCCTCCCCCATCCTACAGAGTTCTCTCTCTCTCTCTCTCTCTCGCTTTCATCCCTCCGCCTCCTCCTCCTCCTCCTCCCCCTCCTCCTCCTCCTCCTCCTTCTCCTCCTCCTTCTTCTCCTCCTCCTCCTCCTCTTCCCCTGACTTCTGGGCGACGAGGATGGCAAGACGTCACCTTGCTCCGTTTGCTCACGCAGGCCGCGAACGCGGCGCGCCCGGTGGAAAAAAGAGGACCCATGTCGCACGACCTCACTCGGGCAACTCCGCGGTCCTCCTCCTCCTCCTCCTCCTCCTCCTCCTCCTCCTCCCTCTCCTCCTCCTCCTCCTCCTCCTCCTCCTCCTCCTCCTCCTCCTCCTCCTCCTCCTCCGCGGGAAAGTCCGAACATGGCAAACTCAATCCCTATCTTGGAGCCGAATCGTTCCCGAAACACCGCGCCCAAAACGTCTCCACCGCTTCCAGGGGTGCGGCATCTTCGCCCCGGGAAAAGCATGCGCCGAGATGGCAGTGGCACGAGAAACACATCGCTCACAGCAACTCCGACTCGCTCCTCATCATGCCCCCCTCTCCCTCCCGCCTTCTCCTTCCAAACCTCCTGCTCTTCAGTCGGGCCTGTCCCCCATACAGGGGGATTCTCGACGAACAATTCTTTAAACAAACAAAAACAAGAAGGTTAAAACATACTCCAACTAGTTCCCCGACTATTTTTGTACTACGTTTGACTATTTTTGGGGTCGAAAATCCCCCTGGCCCGACTTAATCCTACTCTTCATCCGTCCCTCTCTCTTCTCGCACCGTCCCTCTTCCTCCATCCTCCTCGCGCTTCCTCGTTGCACCACCAGGCGTGTCCGTAGACCAGGGCTGGGCGTGTCTCTCGAGGCCCCGGTGCAACATACCATCTCGAAGCTTCCAACTTGCAGCTGCTACACAAATGGAGAGCTGACCGCTGCCGAGATGTAACTCTCGCCTTCACGCCGCGCGTGTCCTCTCAAAAGCTTCGCAGGGCTACGCGCATGGAGGCCCAACACTTTCCCAAATGAGGTGCTCAACTTAACGCCGCAACCATTCCCCTAAACTATTCCAACTGTTACCAGTCTGGAGGCCAGTACGCTTCCAAAATAGAACTCTTGTCTGAGACTGCCTTAGCAACTGATACCATAAGCGTGCACATGCTAAACGTCCAACGAATGGAAGGCGATTCTCTTGAGACACGGGACTCATCTGAGATCCGGTTGAAAGTAGAATCAAACCTTAAACAGGAAACATCCTCCAAGGGAAGCCTTATGGTGTTTGTGGAGAGCTCTGGATTTCCGCGCAACATCCCACAAAAACATGAGACCCTCCGCCGGCCAAAGAAAACACACCTTACGACCATTCGAGAGTACCCTCCCCCAGGATTCACAAGAACATCCAACAAGCTCGAGGAGCCTTAGGGTACCCTCCCCGAACCGACCTCGATCTCATACGTCGGTCCGACCACACAGGCTGTGCCATTCGAGCTTCGAGGGGCCCATCCACGACTGAGGGGGTGGGGCGTGGTGGTGGGGCTGGACACCGTGGCCTTGTGGGGATGGGGATAGATAACACGAGGCTGACCCCAGGACGCCTGGGGCCCAGGGACGGGGAAAATAAAATCGGGGCCCCGTGCGACCTCGACCAGCATCCGCTCGGCCCGGCCACGTCCTTCGCCGCCGTCGACCTCCAGAGGTCTGAACCCCTTCCCTGGGACGGGCTTTCGTCCTGAGTCGTTTTCTGACGGTCCCGAGGCCCGGCAAGTGCCCCCAGAGGCCGAAAAAACAGCGAAAACCTCCCGTCGTGATTTTTTCACAACGCGAGGAGGTCTGGGGTGATCTTGTGCCACGGTCCGACAGCATCACCAGACCACAGACATGTTGTGCAGTTGCTGCACGAGGAGGAGGAGGAGGAAGAGGACGAGGAGGAGGAGGAGGAGGACGAGGGGGAGGAAGAGGAGGAGGACGAGGAGGAGGAGGAGGACGAGGAGGACGAGGAGGAGGACGAGGAGGACGAGGAGGAGGAGGAGGACGAGGAGGACGAGGAGGAGGACGAGGAGGACGAGGAGGAGGAAGAGGACGAGGAGGAGGAGGAGGACGAGGGGGAGGAGGAGGAGGAGGATCCTCCTGTGCCGGCGGGGGTCCGTCGCTGGACAACTCCTCGCCCCCGGCCCGTCGCACAGCAGAAAGGGTCGAGCCGTGGAGCGTGGGCGGCTTCGAAGAAGGAGCTTGCGCTGTGGAGGACGATCCATGGAGAGGGGGCTGTGGAGGACGATCAATGGAGAGGGGTTGTATGGAGTGGATGTATGGAGGACGATCAATGGACGTATGGAGAGGGGGTTGTATGGAGAGGGGGTTGCATAGAGTGGACGTATGGAGAGGGGGTTGCATGCTGTGGGGGCTGTGGAGGACGATCAATGGAGAGGGGTTGCATGGAGTGGATGTATGAAACATGTGTCAAACATGTTCTAAACATGTAAAACAACATGGATAAAACATGTTTAGAACAAGCCTCCGACGTCTTAAAAACAGGTCTCAAATTCAATGATCGGACTGTTAGGGTGTTCATTGTCGTGGCATCCTCAAAGCTCGCGGCGTTATGGGCAATTGGGGCGCTCATCCTTCGAGGGGGGCGCTCCCCGCAGGTAAGCAGATCGCCTGTAGAGACCTGAGGAGGATTCGGACTCGGATTCGGAGCGATCGCGAAGCAACACTGAGACTGCATAGGAGGGGGCTTCGGACGGGAGGGCATGTTGCAGCATCGCTGACGCATCCGAGGTCCCCTCTGGTCCCACTCCTGCCTGGCCCGCAGAGGCTGCGCAGGAGAGGGTGCACGTTGCCCCGTAGGCCGCGGGGCCCGGGTACAATGCTGCAACGAGCAGCGTGCGACAATCCGGCGCGTCTAGCCCCATGCGCAGGAGGAGGATCGCAGGATGAAAAACATGGAGGAGGAGGAGGAGGAGGAGGAGCAAGAGGAGGAGGAGGAAGAGGAGGAGGAAGAGGAGGAGGAGGAGGAGGCGGAGGAGGAGGAGGGGCAGGATGAGGAGGAGGAGGAGGAGGAGGGGGAGGAGGGGGAGGAGGAGGGGAGGAGAAGGAGGAGGAGGAGGAGGAGGACGAGGAGGAGGAGCGACGATCAAAAAAGCGGATCTCACCTGAGAGGGCGCAGCGACCTCATGCGCGGCGGCCTGCGCGGGCCACTGGCGCGGCACGCCGCTCTGGTGGGGACGGGGCGCCCACTGCGCGCGACCTTTTTTGCGCGAGCAGCCTACGCGCCAATGTCGGCGCAGACGACCCCCTCCTTGTCGTCGCGTCGCTCGCCCGAGGACGAGGACACGCGGGTGTGTACGCGAGACGACCTGGCCATCGCTCGGACGTCCAATCCCTGTGTTTTTGTTTCGGTATCGTGCGTGGTTTTTCTTCGCCAAATGATCAGGGGTGCTCCTCGAGGGTCCTCGGCGGGAGAAAAATGCACACGTCCGAGCGATGCCAAGATCCCCTTTTTTCGCTGCGTCGCTCGCTCGAGGACGAGAGGACGTGGGTGTGTCCGCGAGACGACGGAGCGACCCTTACGCCGCGGCATACACTTTTTGGTCTGCGGGTCGAGAGCGAGCCTCTTCCGGTTAAGAGCTAGGCGGGCCGCGCAAAGCACTAATTGGGGAGACAGAGCACAGGCGGGGCCTCAGGCGGGCGGTGCTGAGCTTGCGCAGGAAAAAAAAACGCCTTGGACAGGAGCCGGAGGCGAAGTCCCGGAGGGTGAGCGGAGAGGTGTTGCCGAAACCGCGGCATACGCGCAGGCCGCCAGCGTGGCACGCTGCACCGGAGAACAGGGCGCGCTCGCGCGCGACCTCTTACGCGAGACGCTTACGCTTAAGTCGGGCCTGTCCCCCTAAAGGGGGATTTTCGACTATTTTTTCAAAATTAAAAAATTTTTCAACAAAAAAACAGAAATAGTATGGGGAATATGTTTGGAGTATGTTTTGACCTTTTTGCATGTTTGGAATAATTCTTATTTTTCGTCGAAATTCCCCCCTGTAGACGCCCGACATAAGCTTACGCGCGAATGTCGGCACAGTCGGACTGGAAAGTCGTGGACGTACGCGGGGCGGTCCGCACCAAGTCGTGTCCGCCACGTTCCCATGCTGCGCCATGACGCCTAACTGGTCAGGAAACACTCACGGGTGTCCGATGTACCCTGACAGCGCGATGTGGCTTGGGGCGCGGCATAGGACGAGCACGAGCACGACAAGCGTCGGACCGGAAAGTCGTGGAAAGTCGTATTCTGGCCAAAGCTTCCTGGACAACGAGCTGCCCTATCGCAATGAAGGGCGGTCGCACGAGTGGCTCGGCCAGACCGCAGGGGTTCTGTATGGACAGCCTCGGAAACAACTCTCGGGTCCCATGCCGAAGATCGCAATGCAAAAATCCACAGGGTGGCTACTTCAAAAAATGCCGATCCAGAATTTCTACATACAGGGGGGTCCTGGGTAACGGCCACCGCTTCGATCAAATGCCGAGGGGCGCTGGCGGTTGACAACCCACTCAATTGAAAGGTCTGGACCGCAGAGGCTCGTAAAGTGCCGACCTGGACTTTTTAATCCAGGGGGTGGTGCCCAACTCCCCTCATCCTCCCTCGGGGACGCACTGACAAGGGTCAACGTAAACCCCCGTCCGTGTCGGTCGGGCCTTGCAGGGTCCTGCTGGATCTTGCACGCCAGCCTGGTGAAGCTGGTGAGCAGACTCTGTGAACAGGTCTAGCGTTTGGGGATCATGGCTTAGATTCGTTCGTGA